TCCCTACAGCATGCGTGTCAGCAGGCAGGTGCTGCTGGGACTGAGGACACCATCCCCGCGTGGGGACAGGACGAGGGTATGAGACCATGGGCGTCTGGGGGGACACGGGGAGACACCTGCCAACCCTCGAGTCACCCCAGGGCTCATGGCTCCCCAGCCTGAAGTTTGCAGAGGTCCGGTGGGGGAGACGCCCAGCTACAGGGAAGGGAGGCGCTCTGACTGCCAGAACCTGGTGCCGTGGACAGACCCTCTCTGACTGGAGTCCATCGTCCCCCGAGAGCCTGGGCGAGGGGAGCCCCAGTCGTGCTGGGAGGTCCAGCTGCGCCCCCTTCTCCCTGCTCCCTTCCCTACTTGCAGTCTCTGTCAAAAGGTCTGGCCACGTGCCTTCCCGAGATGGCTGCTACACCCTGCACAGCCCTCAGACTCCAAGCCCACCCCCCAGCTCATGCCTTCGTGCCCCAGGGCCTTTGCTCAAGCTGCCCCTCGGCCTAAAGTCACAGCCCCTCGTTCCCTCAGCACCTCTGACCCTGGGCTGGGCTCCTGCTCCCCAAACCCGTGTGCGGCCTCACTGAGGTGCACACAGCATTCCACTGGAACCCGCTGCTCCACGCCAGACACTGTCGCCTCTAAGACCCAACACAGGCAGGAGCAGAGCCCGGCACCGAGACCCCGCGGTCTGTGGCGGCCACGGTGTCAGCTCACGCTTTGTTCCCTCTTCTCTGCCGTCCAAATTTGCAAGCCCCTCAAGGCAACTCTGCCTTGACCTAAAGTCCTCCAGCGACAGGAGACAGCGCTGATTCCAGGCACGTCCTCAGACCCCAAGCCACTAGTAAGGCCTTTCTCCAGCCGCACTGGCCTGAGCCAGGCCGCCACCCTCCTGCCTCTGTGCCTGTCCCGCCCGCCACTCTCCTCCAAACAGCAGCCAGAATCTCATCTCGGCCTGAAGCCCAATCTCAGCCTAAGACCGCGACCCCTCCGATGCCGACCGCGACCCCTCCAATGCCGTCCAAGGCCGCCTTGCTGGCCCCCTGGCCCCCCGGCCACTAAGCTGGTTTGAGCCTCAGAGCTCCTGCCCCCACCTTCCTTCTGCTGAGCCCCACAAGTGAGTTCTCAGAGAAACTTACAGGAACCCCTGAGCCATCTGCTCACCCAGTGCCTGACCCTCTCGCCCGTCACTGGGTCGTGAGGTGGCTGGCTGTGTGTGCTGCTCACCGCCAGTTCCCACGCCCCTCACCCTCCCTGTACCGACGGCTGCTGTGGGAAAAGCGGGTTTACCAGGAAGACCTCCCTGCTCTCTGCGCCAGGTCGCTGTCCCACTGCTCCTGAGTTCAGTGCTGTATCTCGGGGGAACCCCCTCTGTGGTCCAGTTCTCAAGGCCAAGGGAGCCAGCGGCTGCGGGGTCTAGACTGAGGCCTGTAGTCTGGGTTGGCCCCAAACCTAGCCCTGGCCCCGGCACGCTTTCAGCTACGCAGGCCGGTACACAGGGCCCGGGGGTCGTGCCCTTGGCCTTGGAGCACAGCGGGTCTTGACGCGAGGGGACCGGAGACGCTGCTCGTGTGTGTTTCCGGCCGAGCGTCGGGACGGACACGCGCGCACCACCCCGCTCATGCCTGCAGAAAGCCTGGCCCCTCCATGTCCCCGTAAATGTCCCGCTCTTTCCACGGCTGTCACCAGGCACGCGTGCGCACACACCCACGGATGCACAGCACACATGCACACGCCCTGGCAACACGTACTTCTTTCTGCGTGACAGGTCAGCTCTGACCCAGTTCCTGTGTTTTTAACACGACTGACTCATTCTCAAAACTCAGTGACCACGAGGTACTTGCTGACCATTAAGGGGCGCACCGATGCGTGGGCAAAGTGTCCCGGCCTCGAAAGGCCCCCGCTCTCAGTGAGAAGCACCCAGCAAGGCTACACACTGCGATCTCCATTCACGCCACACCCACACCTGCTCACATGCCCGCCCTGCCCTGTCCTGCTGCTGCGTCCAAGCCGTGTGTGCCAGGCGGGCCGCACCCAGGGCCAGCCTGACGTGTCTGCGGCATGGGCTTCCGGCAGACTGGCCGCCTCTTGGCCCTCAGAGCCCCGCACCCGCCAGCTGTCTCTAGCGGCCAGGCCAGGGTCAAACCCGTTGGGAGGCGGCCTGTGGCCACGAACGTCTCCGGGCTTTGGCCGGTGCTGCTGGGTGAGGCTGGAGCTCCGGAGTGACTGGCCTGCCAGCCGCGGGGGAACCCGCTCTGACCGGTGACAGCTCTGAGGACAGAGCAGACACAGAGCTGCTGGGGCTCTCAGGGATGGCGCCTCCCGGCGGCCGACTGGCCAGCGGGCTTCAGATTTGGACAGCGCCACCGTCACTAGCCGTGACTTCCCTTCACACAGACGTGGTGCATGGCTGTGGGAGCCTGGAAGGAGCTGACCGCGTGCAGCGTTCAGCGCCGACCCTGGGCCCCTGGCAGCCCCATGCCCAGGCCACACCCAGCTGGGCGTCAGGCCCTGTGTGCAGCCGCTCAGCTCCTAAGGGTGCTCTGCGCACGGACGTTGTGGCTGCTCGACCTGCAGGTGGGGTGGGAAAAAGCCCTGCCACGCCTCTGTTTTATTTTGGTGTCTTTAGAAGCAACTGCATCCCTGTGGCACGAGGCCACAGCGGCTGCCAGGCCGGCCTGCACTGTCACCAGCCCTCGAAGCGCACATGCTGGAGGTCTGTGGCCGTCACACTCACCACGACCGCTGCTGTTTGAGCTGCGCCCGCCTCCTGCCCTCGCCCAGGACCACAGGTTTGACTCTCTCCGTCTGGTGCATCTCGAAGGTCACCCAGGCGGGCAAGTGCAAGACTACAGTACTGGGACTTTGGACAAAGATCCAGAGGTCTCCCAAAGCTCCCCACAGCCAGAACGAGACCCCAAGTCAGAAGAGCAGCCCTGTGGCGTGTGCCCACACCTGCTACACTGTCACCATGCCTCCGTCTCATCCTGCTTTAATTAAAAACACAATCACTAGAACTGTCAGATTCTAGCGTCTTCTGATCTGTTCCGAGAGTGCACATGTGATACACAGTTGTCACATCTCACAGGCTCCAATGTCACAGTAAGACAGAAACCCCAACCCCTCACCCTCAGTCAGAAAACCCTACCAATTTCCAAATTGCACAGAAAAGACAAAGCTATTCTTTGCCAATGGTTAGGACGCCTGTAAAACGTTCTAGACGCTTCCCTCGGTGGTGTGAGCAAGTGCTGCTTGGCCAGCGTGAGGGCGGCTGGTGATGTGCGGGATGGAGCTGCCACGGGCCGTCTCGCTGTTGCTCAGGCCCAGGAGACCGAGGGGCAGGCTGCTCCCACATGGCGCTTGTGGTCTGGGTGCAGAAAGGCCTGCGCCCTGGCCACTGCCACCCATCCCGGGTGTGGCCGTCACACTCACCACGCCCCAGGAAGCTAACCCGACAAGTCCAAAGCCACATGGGTCAGATGGATGGCAGCCACAAATCGGAGCCTCACACACATGAACGGGGAGAGACTGAGAGGAATGAGCAGCTGGGGAGGGTGGGAAGCCACTGGGTACGTACCTCCTAACGCAGGACAAGCAGGGCAGCCCGTCACAGAACAGAAAGGTGGGAGCCACAGGCAGAAGGAAAACAACAAGAAGGCACATTTAAACCACTCGTCAAAAATCAGCCACACCAAACCACGAGAGGCACGCAGCGCTCGGAGGCCGAGGCGCCTGCTTCTTGGACAGAGCGCTGCCCGGGGCTGACTGGACACGAGTGAGCAGTTCCTGGGCCGTCTGGGCAGCCCGGGCACGATGCTCTGCCGTGGACGCGACAGGACGGTGTCCTGAGGACGGGGTGCGGGTCTCGGCAGCGGCCGTCGGGTCTGGGTGCAGCTACTGCCGAGCGGCCTCCGCCTAACGAACTCCGTCCCCAACGCCCCTGCGTCTGGCCGGGGCCTCGGGGCCTGGAGCGCCCGCCCGCCGCTCACCCAGCTTCAGGAGCCAGCCCTCGCGGTCGGGGTTGAAGAACGTGTGCGTCAGGTCGTTGCCGTCGTCCTCTGGGATCTTGAACGGCTCGTTCCTGATGCTCTCGTACAGGTTCTGCGGGGGGACCGCGGGGGCTCAGGACACACGGGTGGCCATCCCTCCCGGCCCGCGGCCGCCCTCACATCCGTGAACTGGTGCCGCCTGCGTCGCGGCAGAGCGAGGCTGCCGCCCCCCCGGCCCCCTCACCCGCAGCAGCTCCTCGGGCAGGTCCCCGCCCTCGTTGATGCCTCTGTTCATGGTGACGAAGCGCTCGGCCGTGGGCTTGTCGCGCACATTGTGGTTGTGCAGGCTGGTGTTGAGCATGATAATGGCGAAGGACAGCACATAGCACGTGTCTGCAAGGGGTCGGAGGGCAGCGGGGTCTCAGAAGTCGGAGAGGGCCCAGCGGCCGGAAACCGGCCATGGATTTCTCCATCGGAGGACCGTGTGTGGGGTGAGCGGCCCTGGGCACGCCTGGTGGCGGGGAGCGGGCAGGGCCACAGCTGCCACTGACCTGTGGACTGGAAGACGCCGGGGTTGCACAGGCAGTAGCGGGCAGCGAACGCCTCCATCATGCGGTCGATTTTCTGAGCCTCCCCGGGAAGCCTAAAGCTCCACAGGAACTGCCTGAGGGAACCGGAAGCAGGGATGAGGGCCAGCCCTGCGCCCGGCCTCACCGGTGTGGGGGTGCGGCAGGTGAGGGGTGGCTGCCTGCGCTGGGTGCCTCCGCCGTCCAGGGGCCCCGGCGGTCCAGGCTGAGCGCCGTGCTCCTCCCACTGGGCCGTGGGGCAGACAGAGCCGAGGACCCCCAGAGTGCTGTGCAGGCAGCTCCCCGCCCTCAGCCGTCCACTGCAGGGCCGCCCAGTGGTTGACACCTGCAGGAAAGAGTCAGGGGTCCCCGTGGCTCTGGGCCAGAGGCTGACGGCCAGAGGAATGAATGCAATCTGGGCTGGTGGCCTTGCTGTGGCCTCGCCCCCAGACTGTGGGTGCTGCACGCCGTGCACGCCGTGAGGCAGTTTTCAAATCCTGAAACTGTCGTTGGAGGACTCCCGCTGACAGTGATGCCTTCAGCCCAGGCCGGCTGCCGAGCAAAGCGTGTGAGGGACAGGCAGCGCGGCCACACCTCAGTCCTCAGCCCAGTGATGGCCACGGGGAAGGACCGAGGCCAGGGCCAGACGGCATGGCCAGCTGTATGCTCCTTCGCCACAGGCTGGGCGGGGGCTCAGGGAGGGGGCTACTCCCCGCAAAGGCCCAGGCCCGACAGAGAGCCAAGCAGCCCAGGCCGGGGCGCAGCCCTCGGGGCCTCAGCCGGACCTGGGCAGGAGAGTAGAGCCTCTCAGGGGGGCGGGAGGGGGCCCGAGCTGAGGGCGCGGCCCCTCCACCCCAGGCTGCGGGGCAACTCCGGGTGTTAGGGGGCTGTCCACCCTGATGTCATCAGTGAGGTCTGGCTTTACTGGGACAAGACTGGGACTAGGGTGGCCTCTGACAGCAGGAAACCCACGCCGTCCCTGGCACACGGCGGGCATCCACGAGGTGAGTGTTCAAGGCCGAACGTGGCGGGATGTGGGCCTGTCACCCACACGTGACCACCGCATCTCATTTAAAATGAGGTGAACTCCAGCCCGGCACGCGCGCTGTCCCCCGCCCCGGGCTCCGAGCGCTGATGGGGCACTGGAGGAGTGGGTGGTGGGGTCACAGGGTCTGCAGGGCTGCGTGTGGCCCCTTCAGAGCCGCACTCGCTCGGCCCTCTCTCTGCCCGCGTCACGCAGCACAGGGCGGGACACTCACCTCAAGGCCTGTACGAGGTTGAGATCCGCAAACTCGTGGAGCTCAACGAACGCCTGAAGCACTTTAATGTTAAATTCATCCCTAGAAAGACAGGGGCGTGTTTTACAGCCCGCTGCGGGCCACCTGGCCCATTCAAGACAACCACTTCCTAGAGCCAGTGTCCGCGGAAGCTGCTTTCCCGGTGCTTCTGCTTGCAGGCTCAGTGTAAAGGAGACTCGGGGTGGGGGGGGCACTGCCTTTACTTCACAGCTGGGGGGCGTCAGGGCGACATGGCCCCAAACACCAGCCGCCACGGCCGACATGCGAGCACGTGCCGGGCTGCGGGGTGCCGTCCTAGGGGCTGGTGCCTCTTCGCGCTCCGTCTTCAGACGACCTGGGTGGCTGGCGCCCACACCGCCCCCCTTCATGGGGTACTCTGAAGCTCAGGGGTGAAGCGCCTGCGGGGTGGCAGACCCTGAGGAGGAGGGCGGGCCCAGGCGGGGCTGGCCACGCCCCTTCGCTCACCTCTCCCCCAGGTAGTCCCCGATGACGGTCTTGTTCAGGCCCTCGCCCTTGTACAGGAACTGGGCCACGGCCTCCGCGGAGCTCTGCAGCAGGTCATTTTCTATCAGAAACTGGATCCCCTGAGGACAAGCAGGAGAGAAGCAGCGGCTTGGGAGGGTGGCCTGGGCAGCAGGGCACCGCGTGCGACGACCTCACTGGTCTGAGAGGGCACAGCGGAAGCCACACGACCTGATCGTCACTGCTCCACGCCGCACTTATCCGCCGAGCAAAGCACAGCCAGTCCTCTTGGGTCCTCCCGGCCTCTTAACAGGTTAGAGCACAAACAGGCCCCCGAGCAAACCACTGGGAGCGACAGCGCCAAGCTCCCCAAGCCCGGGAGATGGCCTGCTGTGTCTGGGAGGAATCCTTTCCCAGCCCCGGCCTCCTTCCCTTTGCTGTGGTCACTATGCACTCACTTCCCCAGCTTCCCCTGCCGCTGAAAATGACCCTGCGACACAGGTCTGGTCAGACAGACAGAAGTCTGTAGGGAGGACCCAAGAAAGCTGCTGGTTTCCTGATGAAGGGGACCCAATGAGCAAACACAGGCAAACATCTGCCCTGAGTGCGGATGTGACGGTCAGCCCTAAGGGCCGTGCACAAAGGCAAAGACAGGCCCTCGGTCCTGTCACCTGGAAGCCACTCGACACGCCACCTCTGCTGTGTGAGGCGTCGGGCCCCTGCGTGAGCTACCTTCCTGGAATCTGCTGTTACCTGCAGCTGACTGTGTCAACCGACTGCAGTGCCACTGAGCCTCAGACAGTCTCAATCCCTGTCCATCTGAAGGGCCGAGGGAGCGCAGCCATGACCTCTAAACGAAATGCTGGGGAGGGGCCATCCTGGCCCAGATTAGCCGTCTCCTTCTCGTGGGAATCCTAATAAGAGCAGAAACTTACCTCTGGCCCAGCTACCGAGTTGGTTTCAAAATATGGGTTGGCAAAGCCCCGTAAGGGACAGGCAATTCTGCCCAGAGGCTGTTTCTACAAACTCAGAGATGACCTTCCTGCCGACTCCCCTCTACCTCTCTCCCTCTCTCTCTCCCTCTCTCTTTCTCTCTCTCTTTCGGTGCCCTGACCAAGCTCCGGCCCGCCCACAATCCACCTGCAGTCTGTTGTTTTTATTTTTAAATACATGAATGTCCACAGGATCCTTATTTAGAAATTTTAAAACTGGAACCAGTGGTCAATAAGAGAACAGATAAGTACATTTTGGTACATTCATATGATGCAACACGATACAACGGAGATGTGGACCAAACAACACGGATGAATCTGCCAGATGTGACATGCAGTAAAAGGGCTCAGTACATTTTAATCCCATTTACGTAAAGTTTCAAAAAAGCAGCGCTGATCTATCGTGACGGAGCAGAGTTCGGCCGCCAGGGGGCGACGCCATAAAGGCCCCATGATGCTCTCCAAGTGCGTCTTGTCCCAGGCAGTGGCTGTGTGCCCCCGGCAGGGCCGTGGCTTTGAGAGGGTCCTGCACCCACAGAGCCCTGCTGTCTTTATCCAGTGTCCTCGTACAGAAGAGACGTCGCACTCCATGGAGGCAGAGCTCGGAGGGATGGACCCACAATCCAAGGAGCACAGAGGGTTGTGGGCAGCCATCGAAGCTGGGGGAGGCTGGAGCAGACGCTCCCTGAGTCTCCGGAAGGAACCCGCCCTGCCCACGCCTGGATTTGGGACATGTGGCCTCCTGAACTATGAGACAGTACTTGGTGTAATGTGTCAGGGCAGCTGTAGGAAACAAATACACTAGGTAAACACTAATATTTTAGAAATCCTACTTTATTGCTATTTTTAGTGGTTATCTTCATCTATCAACATCTAGAAAACTTTAGCCGACTTTTACTTCGCTCTATCCTTGTTCCCCTGTGGCTTCATACTGAAATAACCGGGGACTTTAATTTTTAAAATATTTTTTCAGTGATCACTCTCAGACGCAGTGATCAGTTGTGCTGGTTTCTCTGCCTGTCTCTTTTGATCCTGGTCTCGCCCTCGGAGTCCCTTCCGGTCTGGAGCGGGGCTGCTCCAACCTCAGTGGTGAACTCCACTCGCTTTTCTCCGACCTTGGGAAGCAGTCTCCCACGGTCTCTGACTCAGCAGACTTGCTAGGAACAAGCTCGTCATGATTCCTATCTCTGCTCAGAGAACCTGGTCTCTCCTTCCCGGAAATTTAGTGGATTTTCTCTTCATCCACAAGTTTCCCAGTATTTTACTCGATATATTTACATACTGGTCTTTTAAAAATTTACCCTGGTTGGCATTAGAGCCCTTTGATCTTGGCGTTTCTTAAGCTCGTGCTGAAATATCCCAGTATTTGTTTGAAATCCTTACTCTGCTTTCTTCGACTTCTACGACTTCTATCAGGCAAAATTTGAGCAGCTTAGTCCCGTCTTCCAGGTCTTACTGTCGTTCCGGGCGAAACCATGGAGAGAATTATCCAGCTCTGTCTTCTAGCTCACGAATCCACCCTCCGCCGTGTCCTTTCCAATGGTACAGCCCAGCTCTCAGGTCTTCACGTGAAATTATTTTTCATTTCCTAGAATTGTTTTTACAACTCGGTTTTTGTATCATGGATAAGGAACATCCTATTTCTTTGATGATGCTCACAATATATAAAAATGTCCTATTTTTAATGTTTCCTTCTGTTGCTTCTGCTAGGTCTGCTTCCTCCTGCGATTGTTCTGTCTGTCGAGTTTCGTGTGTCTTTCCTGGTGTAGGTTTCTCCGTACATGTGGCGGCCCCTGGTTGGGCGTTGGCCTCTGTAGTTAGACCCTCAGTGGCCTAACCAAATGCTGTCTGTCTCCAAGGCAGGTGCCTTCAGGCATCTGGCAGAGGAGCAGGTTTTGCAGCCAGGTATTCAGTTCCTGGTCTCTGGGGCTTCTTCTCCTCCGTGTTATCGGCCACCGAAGGCACAGCTTGTTTTCATGGGATAGGTATCTTGTCCCTTCTTGCTTCCCTTACTTAGGGGCATGTACTACTGCTCAGTGCGAGCTCAGCAAAGGGTGAAGAGTCTGGATGTCGCTAACACGACCCATGTCCCATGCCTGCAGCCTCGGGGCATGCTGAGCCCTGACGTTGCTGGCCTTTCCGGCAAGTTCTTTCTCGTATGTGCTTTAGGCTTTTGTTTATCATTTCTTTCAAGGATTCCTCAATTTCTAGTCCACTGGAAGAACTCCTGCCCGTTACAGATTTACATCTTACATTTTTAAGGTCATTTCCAGGTAATTGGGAATAAAAGGGAGAGGCTGTAGAGTGTTTTTGGCTTCACTGACCTAATCTATCTTTCTTTCCTCTTATTCATTATAAACCCAAGTGCTACTTCTGGATAGCTAGCGCTAATGAACGAACGCAAAGCTCTGTGACTTAAATAATTTCCTCCTGGTCTGAAACAATGTATCTACTCTGACAATAGCCTGTGTTTCACAAGGTTACATGGTTTAATAGGCACGTAGGAGTCGGGGGAGGGGGGACGGAGGTCTGATATAGTTTTGAATTGTGTCTGAATGAGCTCATCCAGTGCTGTTATGGACTGGACGTTTACGTCCCCTGAAAATTCAAGAGCTGAAACCCAGGCCCCAACATGACAGTATTAGAAGGTGGGTCTTGGGTCGGACGAGGTCTTGAGGGCAGGGCCCTGGTCTGACAGCACAGCGAGCAGATGGCTGTCAGCCAGGAAGAGGGTCCCCCTGGAACCCCACCCTGTTGGCACCCGCATCTGAGACTTCCAGCCTCCAGAACCTGAGGAACTCAATTCCTGCCGGCTAAGCCCCCATCTGTGGTACTTTCCTATGGTGGCTCAAGCTGACTAAACAAGTGCTATCACCGAGTCTAAAAAAACACGGAATTTTGATAATTTTTCCCGGCAAAAGCAAACATACAGACTAAACCTGCCATCTGCTTTTATCCAGCAACATAATTACAAATAGGTTGTCGAACGGAACTAATACTTAATATTTAAAAAAAAATTTTTTTAGGGGAAGAATACGAAACAAAGCCTGTGGAGCGACTGGCAGCAGCCGAGGCTCAGCTGATGAAACATTCGCTTCCTGCGACATGGCCAGCAGACACCACAGGGCTGACCATGGTCTGGGGTGTCCAGGCTGGGCTCAGGGCTACCTGTGAACCCACCCCAGTCTGCAGAAGTCTGGGACGAGCAGTGGCTACAGGCACGGACCTCGGATTCTGTGACAAGGACATGGGGCGATCCCTTAGATGCTCTGTGTCCAAGATAATGGCTGAAATCTGGACAGTTCCTTGGTCTTTGACACAGACATCTTTTTAAGGCAAATGAAGGGGATGACGTCCTCTTACCTGAATCACGTAGGCCACCTAGACGCTGCTCAGCTGGACCCCCGCCCTCTGCCCCCAGGACCCACAGGACTCCCTGGCGCGGGGCCTGCCTCAAACAGGAACCAGAGGGCCTGTCCTCACTGAGGACTTTGCAAAGAAAGGCCTTTCGGTCTAGGGGCCAGTTCGACCGACGCTTTTGCTTCGCCCCACTCATCAGCGGCCCTTTATCTGATAAAAATTTAAGACCAAGTCTCTATTTTTTATGAGGTGATCTGACCATCTTTGTCCAAAGGGAGTGAGCCATTAAAATGGACCAATCTCTCGCAGGCCAGAAAACTGAAAACGTTCTCTTACCTTCTTGGGATCCATGTTGAACTTCTTCCTCCCCATGGCTATTTGCTTGTTCCTCTGAGTGGTTTTGCTATGCATCGGAAATAAGAAACTGTCACCGGACATTTGCACAGAGCGCGGTGCGTGTGTGCGGGCCACAGCCCCCCGAGACCCCGTGTGCGCGGTTGCCGTGGCTTTTCCGCATTTGAAAACTTCTTCGGGAAAAGCCAAGGGTGAGAGGCAGCGGTGTGAGGAAGGCGCATCTAGGTCACTTACGCGCAGGCGAGCGCTGAGGCGGCCATGCTGCCTCCTGAACTAGGGGACTGGGCAGGGAGAGGGCTGCGGGAAGCGCCCTGACTCCCCGGGGAAGCGGGGACAGCAACTCCTCACAGGAGCGGTGGCCACGGTGGCCGGTGGCGGTTTACCTCTCCTCTGCAGACGTCAGGCTGTCAATCTCGGTCATCACCTCCGCGATCTCATATTTCAGTCTCTGTCAGAAAAGAAGGACGAACGTGGGGGTGGGGACTCCGCCTCCCTCCTCCTGGACTCAGGAACGTTAGCCGCTGGGAGCCGCTCCCTGAGGGCTCACCTGCACCCACAGGTGCGGGGACACCGTGCCTGTCACTGGTACATAGAGAGCCTCCCAGTCAGAGCACCCAGCGCCGGAGCAGGCAAGTCTGTGCTTGTCCACCTCTCAGAGGAGACCAGGGGGTGCGCTAGGCAGGGGGTCCACACACAAAGCCGAGAAGGGACTCCGGGGACACCGTCACGGTGTAAAGGGACTAAAGCACAAGAGCAGAGCACCCTCGGTTTGGTCACGTCACCCCATGTGGCCACCTGCCTCCCGCTTCAGGCCGGCTACGTCCTTGGGACGACCAGGGACACAGATGAAGTTAACGCTTTCAGAACAGGCTCCCTGACGGCCAGCTCCGGGGCGGTCCCCGTCACCTGGCATGAGGCGAAGCACCGTGGACAGAGCCCGGAAGCAGCGGACTCCCCCGCAGCTCACCGGCGAGAGGCCTCTGGCCCCTCAGCCCCTCGGGGCCTCAGCTATTTGGGCACACGAGCGAGGCCATGGGCACTGTTATTCTTAGTGTCCAAACAGAACCATCGACCTTAAAATACACTCTAATTCTTCAACCAAAGCTCCTATTCTGGGTTACCTGATTTTTCCAAGAACGAAGGACAACCTTAGAAGACAAAGTTCCACTGCTTATTTTCAAATATGAAGAAATTTTTATTAGAAATCCTCTTAAGCTGTGTGCCAAGAAACTCCAGACTTAAAATGTGAGTTCTGGAAGAGAGGTATGGTCTGGACAAGGCCTGGTCCTGCAGCCAGTGGCCCGCGAGGCCACATTTACATTGGCATGACAATGTGCACAACACCGGGTCCACTACACAGTCTTGGAGAGCAGTATGTCTAAGGATTGCTGTCGTTTCAAAATGCCCTCGTGACACTGGAGTCATGAGTCACTTACTGCTGACGTCAGGTCCACACTGCCTGGCGGGCATGGTCTCTGCTTTACCAACTTGGACACGTTACACTCTCGCTCCGTTCCTCCGTGTGGCTCAGCTATGCAGATGCTAGACACTGATTTTTTACATTTGCATCAAGCTACCCGATTTACTATTATACCTAAAAGCAAAAACTGAAAGATTTTCTTACCTCGATGTCATCAATAAGTTCCTTTTTTCTTCGACGAATGTCTAAAAGTTCTTCTCTCTCCTCTAAGGAGAGGTCTTCAGGCACTGGAAAAAAAAACAAAACCAAAATCATATTCAACAAACAATCGCTTCTCTGGAGAACAATTTGGCAATAGCCGGTAAGGCTGAAGATGGGCACGGGAAGCCGGCAATTCTGTACACAGGTGTCACCCCAAAGGAACCCTGGCACGCAGACCACGAGTAAGGTATTCAGAGCAGCACTGTTTATAAAAGGAAACAATCTAAATTCCATTTGTAAGAAAATGAATAACCTATAGTATATGTAGAAAAAAGAATTCCCCCCCCGCCCTCCACCCCAAAAGAGGCTAAACTCAGTCTATCGACACAGACGAGCTTCAGAGAACAGAACTCCAGAGCAGGCTGAGGCCTGGCACTGTGTGTGACCCTGTCACAGGGCAGAAAATCGAGCATCAACCTGTGAACGTTTGGTGATGCTCATGTGCACAGCAGAGTGCAGCAAACACACCGGAAGAGGAAACACTAGACTCCTGGGGTGGGGGTGGGGGGGTGCCTCCTGAGAGGGCCTGGGCGGCGGGAAACACAGTCCAGAGGGCACCGGGAGTCTCTGCGCAGAGGCTGAAGGGCGGCCGGCACGCACAGAGGTGTCGAAATGTTTTTTATTGACACAGAGTTGTTCGTAGTGTGCTCTTATTAATGACGACCCTCTACAGGATTTTCCACTCCTATTCACGACGTCTATAGTCTCTTCTCTGACGGCAGTCGTGGCTGCCTAACAACGGGGATGCGCGCTGAGAATCTGTCAGTCCGTTTCATCGTGAGCGAACATCGCAGGGTGCACCTGCACACACCTAGCCGGCACGGCCTGCTGCACGCCAGGCCGTGTGCTGAGCCTGTGATCCCCAGGCTACATGCCTGTGCGGCACGTTCCTGTGCAAAACAGCTCGAGATTAAATCAAGGACAAGCGAACACGACACAGTCAAGGGACATGGTAACACGAGACGTACGAGGCGGCGGCCCGCATAGCAAGGCACACTGTTTTACAGCAAACTTCTGTAGTTACAGCATACAGTACATTGGTTAGACATTTGTATAGTTTACGAAATGACCCCCGTGATTGCTCTTTCTCTGCTCCGCTTCTCACACAGCCATTATCCCTGTGGCGTGCTCCCCATGCCCGTGACCGTCTAGCAGCTAATTTGTGCTTCTTTAACCCTTCGCCGCTTTCTCCCGGCCCCCCAACCCCCCTCCTCTCTGGCTGTCACCAGACTGTCCTCTACATTTGTGAGTCTGTTTTCAATTAGTTTGTTCTTTTTTGTTCCTTAGATTCCGCATATAAGTGAAATCACATGGTATTTATCTTTGTCTGTCTGACTGACTTATTTCGCGTAGCATAATACTCTCCAGGTCCATCTATGTCGTTGCAAATGGTAGTAGGATTTCATTTCTTTTTCTGTGGCTAATATTCCATTGTATATATAAACCGTAACTTCTTTATCCAATTGTCTGTTGATGGCCATTTAGGATGCTTCCACCCCTTGGCTATTGTAAATAGTGCACAGCACACTTTTTCTAATAAGTGGAAAGAGGACACTCTAAAATAATAAAAATAAGATAAAATAAAATAAAAAGTATAGTAGCACACAAACCAGTACAGTCGTTTATCACCATTAAGAGGTGTGCACGGAGCACAATCATCTCTGCTGTGCTTTCACACGGCTGTCGGTGCAGATGAGTTCAAACCAGCATCACCACGAGCACGTGAGTAATGTGTCCTGCAGCGACGTCGTCACTATGATGGCGACGACGTCACTAGCTCCGTTATAACCTTATGGGATCATCTTTGTGCACATGGTCCATCGCTAGCCGCCCCCACCCTCCCGCCTGCACCTCCCTGGGCAAGAGCCTGGAGGGTCTTCTCTGCAGAATCGGCCAGCGTTTTATCCAAAGACACTGACACAAGAGGGGCTCCTCCCACTGCTCTAAGACCCCGTCAAATGTAAGACGTAACCTCCAGTTCAGACGTTAAACATGGGAAAATGTGCAAACCAGAATCAATGAAAAACGGGAGGTTATCGTACATACTGACATTAGAATATAAGCAAATAGTATCTCGAAAATTAAGTATTTTCTGATTTTCAAATTATGAATAATCGAATTGTCTAACAGATCCCCATCTACCAAGAAGCTGCAATTTGTTTTACTGCTATATCATATTTTACAAATTTTACACACACACACGTACACACACCCCCATTAAGTTAGCCAGCAGGTTGTACGACCTCTCCTAGCAGAAGATAATGTTCCACAGGTGTGAACTGTGGCCAGAAACCCTCACTGTTGTCAACTGTGATAATTTAACAAATTACCCACTGTACGAAAACTTGGTAAGTGATAAAACACTGTTCCGACGATGACATATAGATGACTCACAACTGCATGTCTTTGGCTACCTAGTCCTAATGGAAACTGATGTCACTCGCCCTCAGTTTTACCTTGATTACTAATCGATACTAACGTTTTTGTTATGATATGGTCATGTTTAGGGTTTTAGTCGGGTCAGGGACTAAAACCCAATTCCATAGGACACCAAGGACGCTGGCAAAAGCACGGGCTTGGGCCCTGGTCCCGTTAGTTCAGCTGGCGGGAACTCTGCGGAAGGGGTTGTGGTTTAACCCGAGCAGAAACGAGACCTCCCTGCACCCCACAAAAACTGGAGACTTAGACTGTTAAGTGAGCATGAGCACCCGGCTCCGAGCAAAGTAATGTCACACAAAGAACAAAACAGGGAGCCCGTGGTGGCTGCGCCTCTGGGTCTGCCTCGTCACACTTAAGAAACCTTTGCCCTCGGCGAGGTGCTAAAACAGAGTCCAGGTGGTTACCGGCCAGTCATGCGTTAGTCACGTCGGGGGCCGGGTCGGTGGAGTGCCCCAGGTCACTAAGGTTGGTGGCCTTCCTGGCTGGGGCATGGGAGAACAGAGCGGGCCTCGGTGGAAGTAAAGTGAGCAGCTCTGGGGCCTGGGTCTCCACACGGGGCTCCCACCTGCTGCTCATCACCTCCCGAGAACCGGGTCTCCGTCACTGCCTCTCAGCCTCCATCAAGCCAATCTTTATTTGTTCCAAGACAAATCCTTGCCCAGCCTTAGATGAAATGCTCTCACGAGAAAACAGAAACTCACGACTTTACCAGCAGCAAACCACTGGTAAAGGCAATGCTAAAAGAATGGGCTTCAATCAAGAGAGAAGACCAGATGGGAGGGGCAGGCTGCAGAATGAATGATGAGCACAGATTTACGTAAGGAAACCTACAGTTTTTAAAAAGTGACTGTATAAAATAATGTTTCACAGAATTAAAAAAAAAAAAAAAAAAGAACTAAAATACCCGACAATAATCGCAAGGAAACAGGAAGAGAAATAATTTGCTCTAAAGTTCTTAAAATTCTAAGTAGGAGGGTGTATATGTGATAAACTTTAGACTTGGCAAGTTGGAAATGCATATTAAAATTTCTAAGCTAAGCAGGAAAGAAATGGGACTAGAATTCAAAATGCCCAAAATGGGTAACGGGAAGAAAAACTGGAATGAGAAACAATAATCAATCCAAAAAAAGAGGAGAAGAAACACAGAAAAACCATCACATATATTATACCTCAATAAAGCTGAATTTAAAAAAGAAAAACTGTTAGAAACACAGAATGCCAAATATGGGAATAGGAAAAAAATCCAATCTTTAGTGGTAGACTAAAGAACAAGTCCACAATACTTTGCAGCCCTTCGGATGAGGGAGCAGTCATTTGACACCACGGAACCCAGGCTGGCTGTGGGACTTCCTCTGACCGAGGGAATGTGGCAGAGGTGACAATGCACAGGGTCCAGGACCACTGCGATCTCGGAGCCCCGAGACCCCCAAGTTCCAGAGAAGCCCGGGCCAGCAACCTTAAGATCAAGCTCTACTGTGGAAGGAAACCACATGCAGAGTCCCAGACGCCCCAGCTGTGGCAGCCACCGCTGCTAAGGCCCCAGGAATGTGAGCGAGGTCACCTGGGAGGAGGTCACCTGGGAGGAGCTCAGCCCCATGTGACCTGCAGGCTGAATGCGACGGGTGAGAGGACCCAGACAAGAGCAGCCCCCCAACTGCCAGCCAGCTCACGGAGCTGTGACGGACAATAGCCCAGTGTTGTTTTAAGCCAATGACTTGGGAAGATTTTGTTACACAGTTATAAATAACAGATACATTTACTCTGAACATTAATGGGAAAAGGACCAAGGTTTAAAACCTGGACATAAAAAAAATAACAAAAAAATCCTACTAAATGCTCTTTACAAAAGGCACGTTAAAATAAAAGAATACCTAACGAATGAAGGTGATATGTCAGACAAACTTTACTAAAATAAAGTTGATCCCATTATATTAATACAAGCAGAACAATTTAAGATAGTCACTAGTTTTTGAGATATTCAATTAATCACACAAGTAACAAGTCTGAATTTATACACATCTAACGAAATGGCCTCAAAATATATAAAACGAAAATTGGCAGACGTATACGTAAAAGTGGAATTTTTTTCCATCGAAGGCAAAAAAGTGGTGGGAGATAGAGATTTGACTAATACAGTTAACAAGCTTGAACTAATGGACATAATATGCTTCATCGGTTTTAAGATGCACATTTAAAACACCTCTGAAATCAACTGTGACATATGTAGGTCGCCAACTTCACACCTGTGAACACTCCTGGGGCGTAAATGAACTACCACTCCTCGATGTTTCTGTCAAAGACACAACTCGAGAGCCATCTGATGAGCGATATGAGCCTGGTTATTGCTTCAAACCTTTCACTGACATCTCCTGCTAAGATCAAGAAAGTCTCAGCATAAGAACCTACAGAATTTGAAAAAACCAGAAACTAGAAAGGAGCTTTAAGAAATACCGTGTCATACTGTGTCACCCATGACTTTGGTGGCACGGAGGACAACACTGTGGAGAAAAACACAAAAACCAACTCTGCAGACGAGTAACTCTCTGAAGAGCAGGACTCCAACTGTGACGTTTTAGGAATACCTTCGCCAACTCATTTCGCTCCTAATTTACTTTTTCGTGTATGCGCGATAGTAAAGGTTATTAAAAGAATCAACGTTTAAATAAGTTTAAAGAACTCTTTCAATCAGTATAAATGAAAACTTCTGAGAAGAAATTAAATCTGGTTTCACTGGTGGCTTTTTTTTCCTTTAGTAGAATGTAAAATAATGATGCATCTTATAATTGATGGGGACAGATTCAATCAGATCACCGTCCCCAACAGCTGTGCAATGCACACTCTTTGCCAGGGCGTGTGGAGCATTATGCTGAATACTGGTCCACTTTGAAAGACCTTAATAAAGCTATAAGACGGTGGTGTGGTGGATACAACGGGCTGGCTCTGCTCACCCTCTGCAGGTGTCTCAGTCAGGCTCAGGATGAATTCGGCTCTACCAATGGGATGCGCTGCATGAGATTCCAAGCTGGAAGGGAAGCAGAGGTCCTCATGCTGCCTCTTCATAAAGGCTGCCTGTTCGCTGGCCAGCGTGGACGTGAAGCTGAGGATTTTCTGGAACAGCACCGTCTTGCTCATTCTCTAGCTTCCTGGACATGTTGCGGCAGCAGGGGGTCCTTGATTGACCTGTGGACCCCTCCCGGCTGGGGATACATGTGGAACCCAACGGTTCCCGGGGTTGCCTAGATAAACCTCCTTTAGTGACTCGGTTCTGGGGAGCAGGCCAGAGCCCAGTCCTCTAGCCATTCCAGGGCTACGGGAAGTGCCCCAATCCCTGTACGACATTCTCCCTCCCTGCTCCAAACACGCAGCGAGCTTCATGCCTCCCGCGTGGCCCGCTCTGTCTGAAACCACCGGTGTCGTGAAGGCCACGTTCTCCGAACAGAGTGCAGTTAGGTTAGAAATCAGAACCGAAACAGCGACCAGAAAACCCATTGGTTTGGAAACTAAGAAACACGATTCTAAACAATGCATTGGTCCAAGAAGATATAAAGGAAATCGGAAAATACCGAGAAGAGAATGATGTTGAAAAAGCTGCATCTTGATACCCGTGGGCTACAACCGAAACGCCGCCTAGAAATGCGCAGCTCGAAATGCTTATTTTGGAAAACAAGTTAAGTTGGAAATGATAAGCTTATTCACCTTAAAAGAAGAGAAAAATAACAGTTTAAATGCAAAAAAGAATGCAGAAAGGAAATTCATTTTAAAAATGAAATGACGTGTAGCCTCTTTGGCAAATGGGCAGTTCCTCAAAAAGCTGAACACAGAAGTCTGCACGGGACCCAGCCATTCCTCCTCCATGTACATGCCCGAGAGACCTGAAAACACGTGTCCATACGGAAACTGGTACATAAATGTTCACGGCAGCACATTCGCAACAGTGCCAAAAACCATCCCAATGTCCACCGTGGATGAATGGGCAGGGGCGGGGGGGTGTCCATATGATGGAATACTATGCAGCCGTAACGAGGAATGAAGCACTGGTGCTTGCTTGAAAACATTATACTCAGTAAGAGAAGCCAGCTGCAAGAGACTACGCATTGGATGACTCCATTCATAGGAAACGTCCAGAATAGGCCAAGAACAGACAAAGCGAACAGTGGTGACAGAAGTCAGAAGAGTAGGTTATTTGGGCAGAGGCGGGTTGGGGGTACTGAATGAGGAGGGGCAAGAAGATGGATTCTCCCCAGCCTCCAGAGGGAGCAGGGCCTAGCCAACGCCGTGACCTTGTCCAGTGAAACTGACTCTGGACTTCTGACCTCCAGAACTGTACAAGAATAAATACGTTTTAAGTCACTGAGTTTGTGGTGATTTGTTAGAGCAGCCACAGGAAATAAATACAAATTTTGGTACCTGGAAGTAGAGTGTTGCTGTAACAAATATCTAAAAATGTGAAAGTGACTTCTGAATTGAATGATAGAAAAGATCTATTTAATTGAGGTGATTTCTCAAAAAGTGCACCTTTAATAGTGCAGCCTGAGTTCTGCTTGCTGCTTTTGATAAGATGCAAGAGGAAAGAGATAAATTGAAAGAAAAACTGTTATGCAAAAAGGAACCAGGACTTGATTTGAGAAATTTTCAGCCTCTTCAGATTGCAAAAGAAGATAAAATTAGGAGATTCGTTCTCAGGACATCGTGTTCTGAGGAAAAAGCCCATGGTGTGGCTGGTCAGCGTCTTGCTAATGCTTTGGAAGAAATGAAAAGAACATTCTCAGAGAAGGCTCTCTGAAGAGATTAGGCCGGTCACTTGTGGATCCCTTCAACCGCCTCAGCAGAAGCCAAGAACAGAGATGGGATTACACATGACAGACGTACAGAGGGTCCCCTTGTCTAATGGAGTGAACTCAAAAGCTGCAAAATACGAGATCAACATATAAAAATTCGTTGCTTCTATGTACTAGTAACGGACATGTAGAAACCACAATTTTAAATGTAACAGTGCTATCGCACACAAAAAAGAAATATTTCGGTATAAACCTAACAAAACATACAGGACTTGTATGCTGAAAATAATAAAATACTAATGAAAGAAATAAAAAATCTAAATAAATGGAGAGACATACCATGTTCATGGATTGGATAACTCACATACTAAAGATGTCAATTCTCCCCAAATTGATATACAGGTTTAATGTAATTCCTATCAAAAACCAGCAAGACCTTTTATAGATATATATAGGCAAGATTATTCCAAAATTTATATGGCAAGTCAAAGGAATTAGAATGGCTAAAACAATTTTGCAAAAGACTTTAAGTTAGAGGACTCACTCTCCCTGTTTCGAGACTTCTCTAACGATATCAACTGAGGCTGTGTGGGATTGGGAGAGGGACAGATACAAAGATCGACAGATCAGAACAGAAAACCCCAACGAGCCCACACTCATACGGCCAACGGATTTTTTGACAAAGGTACAACTACAATTCAAGAGAGGACGATAGTCTCTTCAGCAGCTGGTGCTGGGACAATCGGATGTTCATAGGCAAAACAATGAACTTTGACCTAAACTTCACGCTTTATATAAAAAGTAACTGAAAATAGATCATAGTCTTAAATGTCAAATGTATAATTACAGAACTTTTAGAAGAAAACATAAGAAAATAATCTTTGGAAGCCGGGACTCAGTAAAAGAGTCAAAAGCACTAATCAGAAATGAAAAGAAAAGCAATAACTCGAACCTCAATTTATCAAAACTAAAAACTTTTGTTCTGCAAAAGACCCTGTTGAGGATAAAAAGATAAGCTACAGATGAGAAAATATTCTAAGTCACATACCTGATAAAAGATATCTAGAATTTATAAAAGACTCTAAACAGTAAAAAGCAAAGAATCCAATGAGAAAAGGGCCAAAATACATGAAGAAACATTTCACTGAAGAGAATGTACATAAAAAGACCTTTGACATCATTAGTCACTGGGAAAATGTAAATCGTGATGATGAGTATTACTCACATCTATTAAAACAGCTAAAATAATACAATATAGCAATAATACCAAAGGCCGGTGAGGATGCGGAGAACCTGGATCTCTCATATGCTGCAGGTGGGAATGGAAAATGGTACAGTCCTCTGGAAAACTAATCATACACTTATCACGCTTAACACACGACTCAGTAATGTCACTCCTGGGCATTTATCCCAGAGAAATGGAAGTTTACGTCCACACAGAAACCTATACACAAATGTTCACAGCAGTTTTACTTAAAATATTAAAAAACAGAAACAAAACAAAACGAAAGTGTCCTACAACAGGTGAAGGGATAAATAAACTGGTACATCCATACCATGGAATATTACTTAGCCATAAAAAATGAGCAAACTATTGATACACGCAGCAACTTAGATGGATCATCAGGGCATTACGCTGAGTGGGAAAAAAAAAAAAGCCAATCACAAAAGGTCACATACTATATGATTCCATTTATGTAACATTCTCGAAATGACAAAATTACAGAGATGGAAAACAGATCATTTCCTGGGGTTAAGAATGGCGAGGGAGTGAACAGCAGGTGAGGCTGTAAAGGTGCAGCAGAGGGAGAGGCAGACCTCTGTGGTGACAGAGTCCTGTACCTGATCGCAGCAGTGGTTAGGACGACACAGACGAGCGACGCGAGGACACAGGACCTACACGCGCTCACTGCGTCAGTGTTGACGTCCTGCTTTCGCTCTTGCATCACAGTTCCATGTGCAACCGACGCCAGGGCGCGGGTGACGGGCAGGTGAGACCTCTCTGTACTATCTTTGCAACTTTCTCTGACGCTATAGTCAGTTCAAAATTTAAAGTTTAAAAAAATTGTACTTCGCCTAAGGGAAAACCCAGGTGTTTTCTATACCCCGGTGACAGGACAGAAGGAAATGGTACATCCCCAATACCCAGTGACATGGCTCCCACGAGCCGCCTCTGGGAAAACTTGGCTCAAGAGCCGAATGTGGCCCCTTGTGTCGGGTGCTCGTCACAGCCTCCGACGGGATGGGACCAGCTGGAGTGCTAACGAAACGGCAGCCAGACTTGCAAAGAGAACTGTCAAGGCCAAGGTTACGAGGAAGGGCTGACTCGTCCTAAAAATGTGATGCCGAATGGCAATGAGTAGGTTACACCTAACCACCGCCCGTCCTACACAAGGCAAGCACCTTGCTTTCCTCATCTGCATCCCTGTCACAGTTATGACACCCGCCGGCCTGGAGGACTCATTCATTAGCATTTCAACATCTAGAAGCGGCAGCCCAGGCAAATGTTACTATGAAGGACTGACTCGAACTAAACCAGTTCGTGCTATATTGCTGTAATTCATTATAATAAAGGCGCCACATTTTCAGGGGACGGTTAATTTTTACTTGACAGCACAGCTAATATGACAAAGGAGCATTTTAGAAAGCAGTGTCACACTACGCTCTGGATGGCCTGCTCATAACAGTCAATGGATCAATTAATAAATTTAGCATGAACTCAACACCTGTTGGCAGCCTCTGCTGATAGGCAAGTCATTTTCTCCATTATCTGAAGTACGCAAACGTGAATGAGATATTTCTTTCCTCTCCACTTGAACGGAGGTTGGGTGCTCACACGCAAATGAATTCTCCGGAATTGCAAGAACGGGTCGGTAATATGCATAACTACAGCAGTCAAATCATCGAAACCCACGACTGATGCTAATACCGTCTTTCCGATTTCCACACACGTTATTCTCACTGATTCACAGCGCTGCCCTAGCCGCTCGTTCTTTAAATTTCTCTGTTGCACGAAAGGCGAAACTACAAGCTCGTGCGGAAAAAGCGAACGAGAAAAGAAAAGGCAGCTACGATCCTGCCACAGAGACAGCCTCGGTTAACCTTCCAGAGACTCGGTCCTGGCAGCACACGGACACGCACACAGAGACAGAGACAGAGAAAGAGTTTAAAGAAAATGTAACGGGATGATGGCGGAGACACAGACTTTGGTGGCACAGGCAGCTGGGGATCCAGGTGGCACCGGCGCGGCTCCATTTTTAGTGCCGCTTACTTTCTTATAATTAGCACTCCTCCTTCTGACCACACAAACTAGCGCTTTCTAAAATACCATTTTACTCTGTAAAGACAGGGTAATCGATAAAAGTAAAA